GGCTGGCTGAGTGAGTAGGTGAGTGGGTGAGTGGCTGGCTGAGTGGGTGAGTGGGTGGGTGAGTGGGTGAGTGAGTGGGTGAGTGAGTGGGTGAGTGAGTGGGTGGGTGAGTGGGTGAGTAGGTGAGTGGGTGAGTGGCTGGCTGAGTGGGTGAGTGGGTGGGTGAGTGGGTGAGTGAGTGGGTGAGTGAGTGGGTGAGTGAGTGGGTGAGTGAGTAGCTGGGTGAGTGGGTGAGTAGGTGAGTGGGTGAGTAGGTGAGTGAGTGAGTGGCTGGGTGAGTGGCTGGCTGAGTGGGTGAGCTACTCACCTGGCTGGTGAGGGACTGGGTGGGCAGCTGAGCCAGACCCTCTAGATGAGAGTGGAATAGCGCTGAGTGGGTGAGTGAGTAGGTGAGTGAGTGGCTGGGTGAGTGGGTGAGTAGGTGAGTGGGTGAGTGGGTGAGTAGGTGAGTGGGTGAGTGGGTGGGTGAGTGGGTGAGCTACTCACCTGACTGGTGAGGGACTGGGTGGGTAGCTGAGCCAGACCCTCTAGATGAGAGTGGAATAGCGCTGAGTGGGTGAGCGGAATTCCCAGAAGCCATTCGCTCACGAATCCAACCGTGCAGTCGTCTGGCAAGCGGATTCTCTCTGCAGTCGCCATGAACTCTCCACCACTACCACAACAACAACAACCACAACAACAACAATAACCACATTAACAACAACAATAACCACATTAACAACAACAACAACAATAACCACATTAACAACAACAACAATAACCACAGTGTGGGTGGGTGAGCGGGTGGTGAGTGAGTGAGTGGGTGAGTGGTGAGTGGGTGAGTGAGTGGGTGAGTGGGTGAGTGAGTGGGTGAGTGAGTGGGTGGGTGAGTGGTGAGTGAGTGGTTGAGTGAGTGGTGAGTGAGTGGTGAGTGAGTGGTGAGTGAGTGGTTGAGTAAGTGGTGAGTGGTAAGTGGTGAGTGGTAAGTGGTGAGTGAGTGGTGAGTGGTAAGTGGTGAGTGAGTGGTGACTGAGTGAGTGAGTGGGTGAGTGAGTGAGTGAGTGACTGAGTGAGTGAGTGACTGAGTGAGTGAGTGACTGAGTGACTGACTGACTGGGTGAGTGAGTGGTGAGTAAGTGGTGAGTGAGTGAGTGGTGAGTGAGTGGTAAGTGGTGAGTGAGTGGTGAGTGAGTGAGTGGATGAGTGAGTGAGTGAGTGGTGAGTGAGTAAGTGGTGAGTGAGTAAGTGGTGAGTGAGTAAGTGGTGAGTGAGTGGTGAGTGGCGAGTGAGTGAGTGGTGAGTGAGTGGTGAGTGGTGAGTGAGTGAGTGGTGAGTGAGTGGTGAGTGAGTGGTGAGTGGTGAGTGAGTGAGTGAGTGGTGAGTGGTGAGCTACTCACCTGACCCAGGGAGACATCTTGAGTGTGAGTCCCCGACTGAGACAGAATCCGGCACCGCCGGTCGCAAACCAAAACTCAGCAGCAGCCTCCTGCAGAGGTTACCCCAGACACAGAGAGAGGTTACCCCCCATACACACACAGAGGTTACCCCACACACACAGAGAGAGGTTACCCCCCATACACACACAGAGGTTACCCCACACACACAGAGAGAGGTTACCCCCCATACACACACAGAGGTTACCCCACACACACAGAGAGAGGTTACCCCAGACACACACACACACAGAGGTTACCCCAGACACACACACACAGAGGTTACCCCAGACACACACAGAGAGAGGTTACCCCATACACACACACACAGAGGTTACCCCAGACACACACAGAGAGAGGTTACCCCACAGAGAGAGAGGTTACCCCACACACACACAGAGGTTACCCCAGACACACACACAGAGAGGTTACCCCACAGAGAGGTTACCCCATACACACACAGAGAGAGGTTACCCCACACACACAGAGGTTACCCCAGACACACACAGAGAGGTTACCCCAGACACACACACACACACAGAGGTTACCCCAGACACACACAGAGAGGTTACCCCATACACAGAGAGGTTACCCCACAGAGAGAGAGGTTACCCCACACACTCACAGTGAGAGGTTACCTGGTGCTGGGTGTGTATGGGGTGATCCAGTGATGGACGACCCAGGTACAAGTCCCCACTCACACAGAGAGAGGTTACCCCACAGAGAGAGAGGTTACCCCACTCACTCACAGTGAGAGGTTACCTGGTGCTGGGTGTGTATGGGGTGATCCAGTGATGGACGACCCAGGTACAAGTCCCCACACACAGAGAGAGGTTACCCCACAGAGAGAGAGAGGTTACCCCACTCACAGAGAGAGAGGTTACCTGGTGCTGGGTGTGTATGGGGTGATCCAGTGAGGGCCGACCCAGCTACAAGTCCCCACACACAGAGAGAGGTTGCCCCACTCACACAGTGAGAGGTTACCCCACAGAGAGAGAGGTTACCCCACTCACAGTGAGAGGTTACCTGGTGCTGGGTGTGTATGGGGTGATCCAGTGAGGGCCGACCCAGGTACAAGTCCCCACACACAGAGAGAGGTTACCCCACTCACACAGAGGTTACCCCACAGAGAGAGAGGTTACCTGGTGCTGGGTGTGTATGGGGTGATCCAGTGAGGGACGACCCAGGTACAAGTCCCCACACACAGAGAGAGGTTACCCCACAGAGAGAGGTTACCCCACTCACACAGTGAGAGGTTACCTGGTGCTGGGTGTGTATGGGGTGATCCAGTGAGGGACGACCCAGGTACATGTCCCCACAGAGAGAGAGGTTACCCCACTCACACAGAGGTTACCCCACAGAGAGAGAGGTTACCCCACAGAGAGTGAGAGGTTACCTGGTGCTGGGTGTGTATGGGGTGATCCAGTGAGGGACGACCCAGGTACAAGTCCCCACAGAGAGAGAGGTTACCCCACTCACACAGAGGTTACCCCACAGAGAGAGAGGTTACCTGGTGCTGGGTGTGTATGGGGTGATCCAGTGAGGGACGACCCAGGTACATGTCCCCACTCACACAGAGGTTACCCCACAGAGAGTGAGAGGTTACCTGGTGCTGGGTGTGTATGGGGTGATCCAGTGAGGGACGACCCAGGTACAAGTCCCCACTCACACAGAGAGAGGTTACCCCACTCACACAGAGAGAGGTTACCCCACAGAGTGAGAGGTTACCCCAGAGAGTGAGAGGTTACCTGGTGCTGGGTGTGTATGGGGTGATCCAGTGAGGGACGACCCAGGTACATGTCCCCACTCACACAGAGGTTACCCCACAGAGTGAGAGGTTACCTGGTGCTGGGTGTGTATGGGGTGATCCAGTGAGGGACGACCCAGGTACAGGTCCCTGCGGTGTGAGAATCGTCTCAGCAGACCCAGCAGGGCGCCCGTGTTGAGGTACGTGTCGTCATCCACGTGGCAGAACCACCTGTGTGACGTCACCGTCAGGGTGTCAGTGTATGTGTGTGTCAGTGTGTGTGTGTCTGTGTGTGTGTGTCAGTGTGTGTGTGTCAGTGTGTCTGTGTGTCTGTGTGGGTGTGTCTGTGTGTGTGTGTCACTGTGTGTGTGTGTGTCTGTGTGTGTGTGGGTGTCAGTGTGTGTGTGTCTGTGTGTGTGTGTGTGTCTGTGTGTGTGTGTGTCTGTGTGTGTGTGTCACTGTGTGTGTCTGTGTGTGTGTGGGTGTCAGTGTGTGT